CCCAACCTGGGACCTCAGTGGCAGCTCGGGGACCCTTTCCGGCTGAATGTCCCTGGGGCCGAGGACGTGCACTCCCTGGTGTCCCCTGCCATGCCCCCGGGGCACCCTGAAAGGGAAGGTTGTTAGCATTAGCACCCCGTTACTGCAGGACACTTTCCGGAGAGGGGCCGACGCCTCCGGTGGGGGGCTCCTGTGTGCGGGGGCTGGCCGAGCAGGGGCTGGCCGGGGTCGGGTCCCACAAGGCGGTGGCAGCCCCCCGTGAAAAGCACGTCCCAGCCCTGCTCCAGACTGGCCCTCTGGGGTCCCCACCGGCTGTCGTGCAGAGCCCGGTAGTGGCCTGGCTGAAGGGCCCGGGCGAGCACCCTGGAAACAGCGCACACACGGCGGCCCCAGGGGGCTCCTTGCCGGTCCCGCGGGCCCCGGGGACCCCCGGTGGGTGGCTTCGGGCTGTCCTGTGCCAGCCCCTGCTGTGCAGTGGGACCCCATGGGGTCTGTGGACACAGAGCACAGTCCAGGTGAGCGAGGGAATATTACTCAGCCAGGAACAAGGGTGCTGCAGCCGTGGGGGTGAGCCTGGCCCCCCCGTGCTCGGTGGGAGCAGACACCCGGCGGGGAGCTCCAGAACCACCAGCTCCTGACCGGAAGTGGGTCGGGGTGCCGGGGGCTGGAGACGGGAGGTTGGGGCGACCACTCACGGCCACGGGGCGTGTTTGGGGTGAGAATGTTCTCCAACTGGCCTGACGCGTTGGCCGCACATGGAAGGATCAAAAATCTGCTCTTGAATAGCAGAAATGACTCAGGGAAAAGTGGGGGCAGCCGCTGTGTCCTCCTGCCCCCCGCAACCCCACCTGTTCCCGGGACCTGGGTGCCCCGTCAGGCTGGTCTGCCGCAGTGATGACCCTGAAGGGCAGGGAGTGGCCCAAGTGGGCGGCCCGTCCCCAGCTGGTCCTGGGGCCTGGGCAGGGTCTGGAGTGCACATGTGTGTGCTGGAGTCTGGGGGTGCACATGGGTGCACGCAGACCTGGGGTGCACGCTGGCGTGAGGGAGCGTGGGGTGCGAGCGGTGAGCGGTGCTTCCTGAGCGTCAGCGTGCTGCGCTGGGGGCAGGGCCCGGGTACCGGCCGGTGCTGGCGCCCGCCGGGAAGGGCCAAGCGTGTCCACACCTGCCCGCC